TAAGCTCAAGTCATATAAATGTAAACTATGGATATGTACAGCTTCGTGGCAATGAGGTCTACATTTTATCTTCACAAATGTAAGCCTAACAATTCCTAAGTAATGAGATAGAAGTTAAAGAAAAATACCTCAAAACTGGATATCATGAAATGCAAATGAGCTTGTTTCATTTAGTGCTGATGATCAAGCTAGCTTCCTTGGACCTCTAGGAAGCTAGTGCAATGGTTGGCTTAGGCTGGGGATGGATGGAATGGCCTGGAGAAGTCTAACTGTGATGATATGTTTTTGGTTATGGAAGATAGGGAAAATTGTGTTACAAAATGAAACAGGTACAAGGATGAGTTAGTCTTGATGCAAGGAAGCTTTAGAAACTAAAAGGCCAAGAAACGCACGAGAGAAATGTGAGTTTGGTATGAAAAATCAGAACTTGCACAACAATGGTGTTTGGGGACAATTTATGGCTAGAGGGAGTTTGAGTGAGTTTTAGGGGCTTCTTGCTCGTGTGTCAACTTGCAAATAGTGTGTATACTTATAAGCAAGAGGTTTTGAGGCTTGTAACAACTCAGAATTTGAACTTGAATTCTTAAGCCAAACATGTGATTTTTGAGAAAAACAAGTTTCAATGCTTGTGTACTTGCTAAGATAGAGTAGTTCATGCTTTAAACAAGTTTTTTTATCACTTTGTGGATGGAGTGTGATCAGAGGGAAAAAGTTAGAGGCTCAAGAATGACTTTAAGCAAAAAGCTTGCTTTACAAGAATGGAAGTGTTCACTTTGTGCCATTAATGGAAATGCAACTTGGATAATAGCTCATTTGCTTGGATCAAAGCCTTAACAGCTGTGTAAGCATTTATTTAAGGAGTGATAAACAAGTTTGAGGCATGTAAATCAAAGATTATTCATCCTAGCATGGATTTGCATTTGTGTTCATCATGAAAATTACCTAAATTCAAGTGATAAAACCCTAATTTCATCTCTTCGATTTTCCTTGCTCAAGAATGATATCAAGGAGTTCTTGGAAATTTTGGAAATCTTGCAATGTTCTATACAACTCATATTTGAATTACTTTTGAATATTACCCTTGGAACTATGTGAAAAATTTCCATGAAGTTAGGTAAAAAATCTGCCTAAATAAGGCAAAATTTCACAAAGTTATTTTTAGTTCATGAGCAGGTATTCACAAAATCATAACTTGAGATCCAAGAATTTATAGGAGAAGTTGTTTGAATAAATGTTTTATATTTCATGGAGATCTACAACTTTAATGTTGGAAGTTTCTCTGGAATCATTTTGCATCATGGTTAAAATTTGGCTCAAAGTTATGAAAAAAATAAGAAATTTTCTATACTTAGAAAAATTTCGAAGTTAAGAAATTTCATCTTTTCAAAACAAAATCTTTAATTCTTTATTTCTTGATGAACACGTTTCATATTTTGACATGTTTTGATGAATTATGATCTTTGGCATTTGATTTTGACCAAAAAGTCAAAGTTTGACTTTTCAGTATACAGTTGACTTTTGATCATTTGACTGAAAAATTCATCTGTCAATCCAATGGACTTGTAGTGTTTTGAACCATGTCATTAGGTCAAAGTGATGAAATTGGACTCTTTAGATCATGCCTTAACCCAATTGATCATTTGCTAGGTCAAAAACCAGAAATTGCCCTTTCCTAGTCAAAACCCTAATTTTGACCATTTTGACCCTTTGATGATTTGATCAAATTTCTTCAGGAATTGTGGTCCAAACTTGATCAAATGATACATATGAGTTTAAAATGTTAGTGTGGATCAAAAATTATGAAGTTTGACTGTAAATTGGCCATGGTTGACTTTTTCCTCAATACAGCTAATTTTTAGGTCAACTGTTCAATTGACTGATCAAAAGTGTGATCCAAGGCTTGAAACTTGACATGAGTAATCTTGGGGGTCCATAATGGTCCATGAAAGTCATATGAAGCATTGATAATTCAAAAATCCTTGTGCAAACTCAAACTCTAATTTTGGTCATCAATGCCTAAGGAAGTGTCTTGAGCTGATCAAACCCTAGTGCAGTCTTGAGCCCAAGTAGATCTTGTGAACAAATTATTTATAAGTGAGAGGGAAAACTTTGGGGTACAACAGCTGCCCCTGTTCAATCTTCTTAAACCTGAAGAGTTAGATTGGCGTGTTTTTCTAGTCGTGACTCGAAGGTGGAAGGTGACTGGACACTAGAGTGCCCAGAAATTTGCACTTGGTGATGTGAGAGTCGAGGGAATGGGCTTAAAGATGCCATTTGGAGAGGTGCTAGAAAGTTGCTAAAGATGTAATTGTAGATTCCATCCAAAAGTGATTGTTGAATTGTAATTTGTAAGCTTGAAAGAATGAGTATCATAATGGCGTCCGTGTCTGAAGCATATCTGAGCTGTATCTGGGAGCTGATTTTTGAATAATTATTAGAATGGCATCTGTGTCTGGAGCGTATCTGAACGGTATCTGAAGATTGAATCTGAATGAGTGTCAGAATGGCGTCAGTGTCTGGAGCGTATCTGAACTGTATTTTAGAGTTGAATCCGAATGAGTATCAGAATGGCATCCGTATTTGGAGCGTATATGAATTGTATCTGAGAGTTGAATCTGAATGAGTATCAAAATGGCATCCGTGTCTAGAGCATATCTGAACTGTATCTGAGAATTGAATCTGAATGAGTATCAGAATGGCATCCGTGTCTGGAGCGTATCTGAATTGTATCTGAGAGTTGAATCTGAATGAGTATCAGAATGGCATCCGTGTCTGGAGCGTATCTGAATTGTATCTGAAAACTTAATATTGTTAATGGTAGCTGTTAACCTTATCCTGAAAGGGTAGAATGTTAGCTAAAATGCAACGTTTATGTTGTATGAAATGCATAGTATAATGCATTTGTGTTATCAATGTTTATGATATATGGATGCAATGTATGCGTATATGAGCTAGTTTGTTGCACTTGCTGTTGGACTGGGGAAAATAAATCCCTGACTACTGCTGAGGATATGGAGTATAAGTCTTCATGTTGTGAAGTCCAAGTGTTTATGAATTTATGCTTATAGAAATAAACTCTATTGTAAGGGAAATGTTGTATACTGCTTGTAAAATTCCATTGGCGAATCCTGAGGAATTTGACGACTTCTACTGGGGAGTGACAATTGGGAGTTTCGTTTCGCTGGGAATTTAAACGACGTACTATGGGGACTTCTTAGGTAATAGCCTAGGGGTATTTCCCTATCCATTTAACCCATCAGTAATTGCCTTTTTTCATTTTGTTTATTTGTAAACAGTAATTATATTCAAATGCATATGTTCAACAATGAATCGTTGGACGTTTTTGTAGACAAAACACAAGCGTAAAGAAAAACAGATAGTTTTTTGCACTTTCAAATAGATATCTTTGTATTTACTTTGAGTAAGTATTTTTGTACAAGGAGACAAACATCCTAGTAAGAGAATGTTGTCGTAAAAAAAGAAAAATTTTGATACAAAGAAAAGATAGCTATGTGTAAAAAAAATCCCATGGGGTTTCCATTCTGCTATAGCCTTTGTATCTCTGAGCATCTTGTCTATTTGTTACCTTGTCCGAAGATAATTGAATTGATCAGAAACCCTGAAATTGTCAGTGGAAGCCAAAGGTTGTCTGTAAAGTGATCCAACGGGACATAGTCATACGCTATAATTCCCTAACTTTTTCCTGGACCGCCCTTTCGGGTTTTCAGTCCACCGGGAAACCCTTTTTTCCCCAAGTCGCCCTTTCGGGTTTTCAACTTGCCGGGTGTACAGATTTTTTTTTGTTTTATCCCTAATTTTTGCCCGAACCCTTTTGGTTCGCCGGGATGCCCTTGTTTTGCCTAGGTATGTCAACCTAGCGGGTCGCTTATGCATAGTATCTTTTGACTATGTCCGTGTTCGCAGGATGTGGCAGGTCGTCACTATAATACCCCAAATTTGTCCTACCCTCTTAATTTTACCTGGCTTACACATCTCGCACTTTTCTCATGTATATAACCCTTATTAGGTTAGCTAACACCTCATGAATCATTCATCAATAAATTTAGCACGAGATCAATGTTCATGAACATGATTAGGGTTTTACCAACTGACTGAGGTGTATATGTTCAATAGAGCTTGATTCTTCTGATTATTTCTTTTAGGCATTGAAATTGTGGAATTATGGTTTTATGTTCATGGGTGTTGTAGATCTTTTCTTCATCAAGCTATAAGGTCATCCTCCATCAAGGATTCATCAAACACAGGTGTATTAGGGATTCATATCTTCTATGTGTGAATTCGTAATATCTATTGACTGAGGTTCATTGAGCTTCATATTACGTTTCTTTCTATACTTCAAGGCGCTCTCGAGGAAATGTTGTCATCCATAAAGTAAAGATGTAGTATGGATTGGATTGAAAAATGCAAGCCATTGTACAAAAGATTAAGTTGTGGTTTCGTTGAGTTCAAAACTTCATCATTATTTCAAACAATTATTGCTTCGATTACAAGTTTACTAGGGTTCAAGAGAAATGAGATGCCAATTCGGATTCATTGAAACTTCTAACTGTGCTCAAGATTAATATTGGTTCAAGATCTCAAGTTCATGATTTGTTAATGGTTGATTCAAGATAAGATTGGAAGATTCATGTAGTTCAAGTTGTCATCTTCAAGTTCACTTAATTCATCTCCCGTCATTCAAATCTAGGCATGACATATAAATGGATTCGGACTCAATTCTTTGTGAAATGTCAAATTGGATTCAAGTTTTGAAGCGAGGCATCCCATGATAAAGTTCAACGTCAATTTGGGAAAGTTAAATTTTGGGACAAAGTTCCATTTAAATTTATGATTGTTTCATTTAAGTTACAAGCATAATGGAGGGAAAGTAATTAAAATTTGAAATCAAGTCTCCATTATAAAAAACCATTTCAAAGCATGGTATCTCAATCAAGTTCAGATCACAAAGCTAAATTCCAAATACATACAATATCTGAGTTTCATACAATTACATTCATAATCACACAAACTTTTGTTCTAAGCCTAAGTCTTAGTGCCCATACATCTTCATGCTTGCTTCCCATGACCAAGCCACCATATCTCCAAGCTATGCCCAAAGCTTCATGTATCACTTGAATCCATCTCAGGTTTTCCCAATCCTGCAATTTCGCAAAGCAATAGAAGTCGGTTCAGAATTCAAAAACAATTGGCCCTGCATCAGATAAAATACCAGTTTAGCCCTGTATCAAACTAATAAAACTTTCTTAGGAAAAAAATTCAAAATAATTATCAAATGTTTTTCAATTTCATTCAGATTCCAAAACAACCCTTTAACAGTTTCAACCAATTATAAAACAACCCTTAACTGTTTTCCTAAACAGAACTAACAAACTGTAACCAACCGATTCACAATTCCCAACCAAGTCTAACAGAAATAAAATCACCCTGCAAACTATCAACAAAAATATAGAAGAATTTCTAACCAACTTGCAACTGAATTATCATACTCCTCTAACTCCAGCTAATTCCCATAACAACTTCCAAAAAATAGAAAACTCTAACTGCATCTAACAAAAACCCTCTAACAAACTTCTCAACAGCAGATAACAAATTGAAAAACAGAAGAAAAGGAGAAGATTCACGGGGGGATTCATAACAGAAATTCATAGAAACTATCAAGAGCTCACCTCTCTACTCTCTCTCAGAACCTTTGCTTCAATTTGTACGCACGAAATCATCAACAACCGCGTCAAACTTCAATCCTCATCAAATCTGCTTCACAAACTCAACAAACTTCAACATCTTTGTTCACCACTGCATCAGCATCAACATTGCAATACCATAACCACAATAACCTTCATTGATTTCGAAAATCCATGAAACTGAATCACACAGAGCAACAAACGCATGAAAGTAGAAGAAGAACGAGCAAGAGATCGCAAATACTGACCTGAATTTCTCTCTATTGTCATTGTTGTTGTTTCCCTTGGAGCATCTCTGATCAGTAAGTATGCTCATCCATATACTATTTCTACTTTCTTTGTGTGGACCTATGAAAGTATTGGTGGCGCTATGAGCATTTGAGACGGCGAAACAAGACAGTGTTCTCGTGATGGATGAAACAGAGCCGTTGTGAACTGAGAAGGGGCCGAAGTTGGTTAATGGAATCAGATCGGAAAAGATGAGAATGCATGAGCAAGTTGAGGCAGAGTCTGAATATTGCAACGACGGACAGTGGAGATTGGAAGAGTTTTAAATGGAGAGGATGGAAGAGAAGGAATCATTGCACCGTTTATGTTGAGAGAGGAAGTTCTTTCATCGGTTTCACGAAGAACTCCAATCGTCAGTTTTCATTTTCAACCCTAACAACACTTTCCTCAAAGTTGTACCGTTTCATGGTCCATATTCCCTTCTTTCATTTTATTCTCTTTCAATTTGATTTTTATTGTAATCTAAATTATGATAATGATAAATTGGAGTAAGCTGAATAAGAAAATTGGATGAATCTCACGTATGGGCCTCTTCAATATACCCATGGCTTGTTGCTCCTATTTCATACCAATGAAGCCTTGGACAAAAACCTCTTGATGAACTTCAGTTTGGGCCTCTATGCTAATTCTCTGGACTACACTCCTCGGTTTCAACAACTCACCCCCAGTTTAATTGTTTTTCGCATTATTTTCTAAGTTCTCTTAGTCAGATTTTGATGAAAAAAAACCTAAAAAATAGTTAGAATATTTTAGGAAATATTTTAGAATTCCTAGGTTTTCTCTTTATAATTTTATTAGAATTTTCTAATATTTCTTTTCATGTTCGATAATCATTTTTGTTGTCATTTTTTAGCTATGATTTTGTGTGGATATTGATGTAACTTTCACAATGGGAAATGCTTGGAGAATAATTTTTGATCACTCATGCGGAGCAACTTCTGTAGAGTTTTCTTATCACTTGCGGGGCTTTGAAGAGGCAACGGACCTTCTCCATTCAGTATCATCGCGACCCCATTTTCGCACTTCACCACTTTCTAGATACCATGAGAAGTAATAAATAAAGAGCGTGCGCTCGAAGTCACTGTTTAAAGACCTGTAGCAGGCATTCCGCACTTCATTTTCTATATGTGTTGTGCTTATGTTTGTTTACTTTCTTGTTGATTGATGAGTCACTCAATTTAGCAATTGAGATCACGACAACACTCTTATTTCATTCTCCCTATAGGATTTTTATTTCTTTCCTTTATTTCTTGTTGATCGATGAGTCACTCAATTTAGAAATTGAGATCACGACTTCGCTCTCATTGCATTTTCCCTATAGGATAGTTTTGTTAGACTTTCTTTGGCATGATAACTTAGATATGATCTCTTTAAGTATGCTCTTGAGCTTATTGGCTTGCTTGCTTTATCCTTGTACATACCATGTTCCCTTAGGATGCGCTTGCTCCGTTCGGACGCAAGTTAGACCTTAGGTTGCAAACCATGCATGCTGACATTAGGTAGAAACTTCCCCTTTCATCCTTGACGTAGGATTACCATTGTATGATAACATTAGGTTTATAAATAGGCTAGTCTCCCTTAGAATCTTTTCTTCCCCTTTTTGCATCCTTGCATTAAAACAAAAATCTTTTTCTTAGCAAATCAAAAACATGCTAATCATACTTAAACCCTTTTTCAAGGTAATAAAACACAAACCAATTCAAACAATTTTGTGCGCTCAAGCACCTTTCTCTAAAACCATTTTCAGGTAAGGACACGATTAATTTACTTTTGTGCCAATGCATAAGTCTCCAAAGGTCGAGCTACGGTAGAAGGAGGAATTAACTTCGTCCATAAAAAACACAAACAAACATGAGCCGAACTACGATAGCTCTGATTTCTCAAAAAAGATACTTAGGCATTGGGGTAGGGCCCAAGCGACCACAATTTTATTTTCCCTACATTCTTTTCTCCTTTCTTTTGCATGCATTCCCCCTTCAGTAGTATAGTAAACAATAAGCATAGATTAAACACACCCATAAGATAGATAACAAGAGTGGATACCATGGAGTACTACGGGCGTGTGTGGTGTTGTTGTACCCCAAAATTTTCCCTCTCATATATCAAGACTTTTTTTCAAAAGATCTCTTTGACTCAAGACTGGATTAGGGTTTGGTCAGCTCAAGACATCTCATCTTATATTGTTGGCTCAAATTTAGGGTTTGAGTTTGCACAAGGATTTTTGGACTATCAATGCTTCATATGACTTTCAAACATCATTATGGACTCCTAAGATTACTCATGACAAGTTTCAAGCCTTGAACCACATTTTTGATTAGTCAATTGGACAGTTGACCTAAAAATCAGTTGTATTGGGGAAAAAGTCAACCATGACCAATTAACAGTCAAACTTCATATTTTTTGATCCACATCAACATTCTAGACTCATATGTATCATTTGATCAAGTTGGGATCACAATTTCTCAAGAAATTTGATCAAATCATCAAAAGGGCAAAATGGTCAAAATTAGGTTTTTGACCGAGGAAGGGCAATTTCTGATTTTTAACCTAGAAAATGACCAATTGATTTGAAACATGATTTCAAGAGTTAATTTGTATCATCTTGACCTAATTACATGGTTTAAAACATTGCAAATCAATTGGATAGACAGATGAAATTTGCAGTCAACTGATCAAAAGTCAATTTTACACTGAAAAGTCAAACTTTGACTTTTTGGTCAAAATCAAATGCCAAGGATCATAATTTATCAAAACATGTCAAAATGTGAAAATTTTTCATCAAAGAATCAAAGATTGAAGATTTAGTTTTAAAATTTGAATTTTCCTTAACTTAGAAATTTTTCTAAGTATAGAAAATTTCTTATTTTTTCTCAACTTTAGGCCAATTTTCCACCATGATACAAGATGATTCAAAGAATGTTCCCAACATGAAAGTTGTAGATCTACATGAAATCTACAACTTTTCTTCACACATTTTCCCCTAAAGATGCTTGGATCTCAGGATATACTTTTATGAACACATGCCCATGAACTAAAATAACTAAGTGAAATTTCGCCCTAATTTAGGCAGGTTTTGGACCCAACTTCATGGAAATTTCTCACCTAGTTCCAAGAGGTATCTTGAAATGCATTTCAAATATGAGTTATATAACACATTGCAAGCTTTCCAAAATGTCCAAGAACTCCTTGAGTTCATTTTTTGAGTAGGGAGAATCAAAGAGATGAAGTTGGCAATTTCTCACTTTGAATTCAAGCCATTTCATGAAGGACAAATTTCAAATCAGTACCTATGCTGCCTAATCCATGCTTTACAGGTCCAAAACTTGTTTCTCACTTCATAATTTAATTCTTACTCAGTTGACAAAGCTTTAATCCAAGCCCTAGAGTCTTTATCCAAGTTGTAATTCCATAAATGGCACAATGTTGCCATTGCCATTTTGGAAAAGGTTCACTTTGGCAACTTTCCAATTCTTGAGCATTGAACCTGTCTTCTCTGCACACACAAGTACTACAGACCTAAGGCAACTTGTATAGAGCATATACCAACCTCAAGCAAGCCAGTACAAGCAGGTAGAGACTTGTCCCTTCACTTTGCTTCAAAAGCAAGAAAGTGTGCAAAAAGGCTAGATTTGAAAAATTTGTTGAAGAACTGACTTGAAACCTTTTTCATACTAATATACAAACACATTACAACTAGAGACATGATTTCTAAGGACCTAAAACACTCCAAAACTCCATATCACCAAAAAACTGTCAAAACTTGCAGTTGGTGCATAAGCATGGCAATCCATCATTTGGCTCGTGCGTTTCAAGTTCCAATCATCAAAACACTTTACCTACTTCATATCTAAGAGATCCAGACCATCATCCCTGCACTGTAACTCCTCCTTCTTAATCTGCCATTTTTGTTTTCAAAGCTTGCAGGTTGACTTGGATAGAGAGTTTCAGGCACTTCCAAAGCAAGGCAGGGATTGGAACACACTCAGGGAGGTTCAAGCAAGCTAAAGCAACCTTCATGCCTTCCTAAATCTCACTCAAACTCCATTCACGATCTCAGCTGAAAGAGGTAAGAATCTCAACTTTTATTTCTTCATACAGGCATCCATTGTCCACGATTTGTGAATAAACAATGTAGACATCATTGCTACAAAGTTGTACATATCCATAACTTGCATTTATTTGGCCTGAGTTGAGAGAATTTTGAAGTTCAAATTCCTGTAAAAATTAGGTTTAAATTTAGGGCTTTTAAATTTTTTTATTATCTTTGATTGTTAGCTTACATGATTTACATGGTTGAAATCGTGGGAATGAGTAGTACCATTTTCATGTTGGAAGTTTTCATTTTCATGGAGAAATGAGAAAGTTACAGAGCTTCTGGCTGGCTTGAGGAAGAAGATGGAGTACAGGGCAAGGACATTGTTTGTGATATGTTTTTTTTTGTTTCATATAAATCAACCGATGTATAGCCACCCCAGTGGCAAGGTAGCGCGCTGGTAAGGCCCAAGTCGTGGGTTTGAACCTTGGCGCTACTATTTGTTTTTCATACTTTTCCTTTTTTTTTTCTTTCCATTTTTGGCTGTTTTGCAGGTTTGGGCTTCAACACTGGGCCTTATGTTTTTTTTAACATCCACCTCTTGATTTCTCAGAATACCCCTTCTGGCCCAACTATTTTCATATATTTTATTTATTTGTTTTATTTTCATTTTTGTTTATTAAATATTTTATTTAATACATAAAAATCCTAAAAAATATAAATATGACAATATTGCATTTTTATTTTATTTTATTTTATTTTATTTTGCACATAAAAAATATATTTTATCTTCAATATATACTAACCATCTTTCTTAAATAAATTTGTAAAAAAAAAAAAATTAAACTTAGATATATTCTTATCTTTTCTTTTATATTTATATATATACTTGTAAATATTTATTTTAACATATAAAAACTAAATATTTTCATAAAATATTATTCATTAC